TTAGGCAGATGAACAAGTAGACAGCTAGAATAAGAAAAATAAATGTGAATGTTTTCTACTCCATTCAGTCATCAAATACAACACAGGCCATTATGAAAAAAACTGCAAAACAGAACTCACTGCCTAAATAAATTAAAAGTAGAGACTTAAGGGATCCCAGGTAAGTAAAGCATTCTAGAGGATCAGCACATGCAAATATATGCAGTGCATGTCCCTGTACCTGACCAGTTGAAACACACTCAGCAATGCCACCCTAGTACTTACGTTTTCTTTATGTTTTTCTTCCCCACCTTTCACGTTCATACATATCCTTTTGTATTTGTCGATTACAAGTGCAGAAGGCTGCAACAGTAACACTTTAAAATGCCAGAACTATGCAAGCCCACATTTTCCACTACCTGAAAATAGTCAAAACATCACATAAGACACATTTTCTCTAACTAGTTGCTCACTTTTTCAAGAAACCAGACTTATGTGAGATGTGATATATTATTAAAATTCTATAAATCTGTTTCCTTTATTTTGCCTGAAACAAAGCATTCTCACAAATTTCAAATATACCTTGTCCAGCACTTCGCACAGTCTGTATGATGGCCTGTCACCAAAAAGATTACCAAGCCTGCACACTCTCTCGCTCTGTTATGTTTCTAATGAGCAGCAATAAATATTATGATTTAATATCGCCGGAACTAGAGACTTTATGACAAAGTATTAAATATCATCTTATTCACGGCTCGTATAAAATTCTAATAAACACATTCCTAAATATTTTGGAGTTGGCACTACGTACTATTCTGTTAAGCTTTCAGTGTTATGCTAGTACAACTGGGGGTCTGAATGAAAACTGGACCTTCATTTTTACAATAAGTAACTAGCAAGTGTGCACACACTTTTATGTATACACATACATATGTACACACATTCTTTTTCTGATTATATTATATTTGCTAGGACAAAATTAAAGTACTATAAATCATCATTCTCTTCAGCCAAGCCATTTTACAGGCATCATTATTTGTCTTTCCAAACAAGAGTAACACTAAATATCATGGGAGTAAAAACAACTCCCACACAACTTCAGATAAGCACGGTATTTCTCTGAATGTCTTGGGAAGGATGGAGGAAGCAGCTCAATGAGGTTTACACGCTGACAACTCCATGAAGGAGGAAAAAAGCCATCTCCTCAAGGAAAACAATCAGTTGATGTTTTCCTTAACATTGGAAATCCTACCTCTTTTTACATTATGCATTCATCAGTGTTATACAGTAAGAAATTGTGCCTCCGAGTTTTTATTTTAAGTATTAAAAAAAAAGAATAACAAACTCGGTAAGACTGACGTATGTTCATCTGCAACAGAATTTGATTTCCTTTTCTTTAAAAAAGGATGCAGTAAACCATTAAGATTGATCTATGTGCTAGATTATCAGCATTATTTCAAGTTTCACATTTCTCTCACTGAAGTATGCACGTTCCTTTGTCCTCCAGCTCTCCTAGGTTGTAGTATGCCAATAAGGCAAATCAACTCCTGGTGCTACTCTACTGGCTTTAATCATTTGATCCATTGTACATTTTTGGGTTAATTTCTATCCTAATAGTTTATCAACAACTCTAAGGAGAATAGAAATATTTTCTTAAACTCCACAAACATATGAATCATTAAACAAACATCTTTGAATAAGACACAATCCAGTGGGCCAGTTATACATACACACTTCCTTCACTATTAACATTTAAACAAGTGATGACTGAACATAATATTAGGAATTCACACCTATAGACAAAAGCAGCATAGCTGCTGATGTGGGCAGCATCCACTGCACTTAGAAAGCGAATATCATTTATCAAAACAAAAACTCTCTCTTGTTCCTCTCTTGGAAACTTTACCAGAGAAACTTTCCAATCAGTCTCCATGGTGTTATGTGCTTCTGGAAATATGACAACCAAAACAAACTGGAATGTCTCATGCAAAAGGGGTAAAAGACATGGAGGAGGAATAAAAGGGAGACTTTCAGGAAGAGAGAGATTAAAAAAACAAAACAAAACAAAACAAAAAAACATGATGCACGTATGTCCATAAAATTGCAAGAGCTTTACGACGAAAATCATAACGCCTCCTTTCTAAGTTTCCTTTATTGGGGGCGGAGGGGAAGAGGAGTAGCAAAAAGATGTGAATTCTATAAGCCAGTGCCAGAAAATACATTGGAGCATAGTTTTATTCTGTCTACTCATCCCTCTTATCTCTATCTATGACCTCCCGAAGGCAGGCATTTGAAGACACGCTCCATTAATCCAATTAGTTATATTTACATTTTGACTCAGCCACCTACACCTGCTATTGCGGATACCCTACCATTCCCTGCAAAAAAATCCACTTGCTTTTCTTTTAAATATGGTCTAACAACTAGTAGCTTTTCAGCTGTTGGGCACAGGTGGCTCCTAGCGTGTCTTGAATACCATCTCCAAATCTCGTTTTTGTATTGCCTTGCAACAACTTTTGCAAGAAGCAAGTAGAATTCAGTACAAATACTTACAGAATATCTTCAAGCTCAAAATGTTTGAAAATAGCAGGAAAGAACCTAACTTTCTTCTGCCTCAAGAGGGAGTTAACAGCACAGAAAAGTCAAGTGCCAACAGCGCTTAGGATTTCAATGAAGTAAGAACTGCAAAACCATTTGGGACCATGGCTCATAACATTCACTGAAAAAATGTGCAGAAAAAAAAAAACAAGTAATGTAGTGACTCTGTCTGCTGACAAACTTCCTATAATGAAAGCAAGAGGACAGTACAGCTATTACCCATGTAATCAGAAAAGCAAGACATGTCTGTGGTATCCATCAATGATACCACACAAAACAATAGGATTCTAAAACTTCACCCTGCACACAAACATTTCTTTTTTAATATAAGCCAAATCAGTTAAACTGGTGGACTGACTGCATTTCAATACAGCAATAACAATCTAGCTTTTATTTGCTAACATTTAAATGTTTCTCTAGTTTAATCATATCAGTATAAAAGAATAAAAATCCCAGTGCTCTTTACATTGGAACAACTTTGGGTGTTGATCAAGTAAAACTTGTTTGCTTTGAAGGTTTGCTCAAAGCTACACCCCTGTTATAATTTTTATTCTTTCATCCTCCAATTGTACATTTAGCAGCTGCAACAACAGCTGGACAGTTCAGCAGCTGTAAAAGACAGATGCCAAGTTCCAGAAAATAACTTGCTAGCAAAAGAATCCAGGCTCCGTAGCAAGTTGTCATGGATTCCCCAATTAGAAGATTTTACGCTGCAACTTAGCACCAACTGCAGATCTGATTCCAAGCTGTACTGTGCTTTCGCTGAACTCACCAGGCAGATTACAGATCCTCTTAAAGTTAGCTCCCCCTCTGATTTAGTTTTGACAGGGAAAAGTCCTTTCACTGCTACAGGAAAGCAACGTCTGTCACGTTATTTTACTAAGTCTTTACGTTGGCTCATTTGCTCTTTCCATTGTCAACACTTTCATTAAAAGGCAGGCCTTAATACCAGACATTAGTTAGAAACACATTTGGCTTGTATTATATCCCCTGACCCTAAATTCTGACTGACCCTAAATTCTTACCTGCAGAAGACTGCATTAATAAAAGAATGATCTAACTAAAATATGGAAATACAATATAAGACTTGCATCAACACCCTGTCAGTCTAGTGTTTTCAGTTACCAGAAAAGGAGGAGGAACAAAAACCAAAATTGTTTATACTGGTCCTTAGGGGTCGTCTTAGCTTCCTGAAGTCATTCACAACCAGTGTACGTTAGAGGAGTCTAAAAATGCCTCTAGATATTTATTGACCTAAATTTATTAGGATAAGAACACTTGCAGCATCTGTTGACTTTAACCGCCGTCGCAGGCATTAAGCTGCCCACTGAAATCAGCCCACTTATTTCAGTATCTAACTATAGGTTATGTACCAAACCAGAAGAGCAGCTATTTAAAAATACTGGCCATGTTGCCTAAAGTTGAAATAAAATAATAAAAAGAACTGAATGCTGCTGATTTCATGTACTGTCTTTGCCTTCTTCCCCTTCATCTCCACCGTGCATGGAGAGTTTTACAAAATGGTTCAATCTGCAAAGTAGCAAACAGAAACATGCAAGGAAACCTCCTCTTGAAAGAAGATAACATAAGAACATTATCAAACAAAATCAGCAGACCTTCACGGGAACAAAATAGGCATAGATGCCAGAGAAAGCAATAGAGAGATAAAGCAAAACCCACAACATTTTGAAGTACTTCTGAAGTACCAGGTACTGTTTTGCTAGAGGGATAACATACACTACAAATAATTAGAGCAGCAGCAGAAAAATATACGAAAAAAAATCTGGAGAGATTCTGGGTCTTGAATATAACCATGCCAGGCTTCTCTATTTCAAAAAAGGTCCAAGAACAGCAACATAGAAACAGGTTATGAAAAAATGATTGCAGTATACAAGGAAGGACTTAAACATGGTTTCATCAAGGATATAATAATTAACTGTGAAGGTATGAAAATGTAATACCCTGAAACCCCACTCAGAGCATCCTCCTCTTGTTGCAAACGTGCTGGCAGGGCACATGTTCTACTTGGTGACACACAGATTAATGATCTGTTACAGCAGTAATTGTTCCAGCACATCTATAAAAGCATATTGTGCTGTAACCCCAGGAAGATGGCATATGCTAGAAAGAGAAACACCTACAGCTGAAACACTGCGAGTCTCAATAGAAGCTGTAGGAGAGAGAATGGAGAAATTAACACTTACCACCTGCACATTACCAGTACAAAAAACAAGTGCCCTGTGACTCAAGAGGTTTTCACAAATGCTAAATTCCCACCCACATGCACTCTCATTAATAGAAGAACAAAAGGTAGCAAAACAGACCTAGACATTTGCTATGAATATCTACCCCAAATTTCTGGGGGCAAGGATATGGCTACTATAGTTAAGCTTTAGCTACTAAAGATGAAAAGTCAGTCTTACCAGAGATGGTGGTGGAGGGGGCCCTCCAGAAGGTGGTGGAGGCGGTGGCGGAGGAGGAGGTGGTGGTGGTGGCGGCGGCGGCACAGGCATCCGTTAGATTTATAGCTTCACGCAGTTATGAAAAACTATAGCAAAACTCTATGTCCTTGAGGGGAAGAAAGGGAGGAGAAATAAAAGGGGTGGGGGGAGAAGAATGTGTTTATACAGTGTAAGCTGAAGACCAGCCAAATTTCTAACTCTTGGCAGATTGAAGACTTTTGTAGGACAGTGCTTCTAAAACTACAGTACAAACAGCCTCATTATAGTTATCTGATGACAACATTCATCTAAAGAGCAAACTCACATATCTGGACAAGTTCCATGAATACCAAATGCATAGATGCCAACCTTCCAGCTTTAACTATTATGCCTTCCATTAACCTAGCCCATAGCCCTGAAATGCAATTCTGCAGAGAACAAATCACAATAAACCAAATATAGATGCTCCTGCTGGGACCACTGACTTTCAGCCAGAGCTTTGCCGCTCTAAGGTCAGAGAAGGAACTTTGTAAGGATCACCGCACTTGCTCCAATGTAGAAAAAAAGAAAGATATGCTTGAATAATAAATGAGGAAGTAATTCTACAGATTAAAGTTTCATCAGGTATAGTACTATTACCAAATGACAGCACATAAGGACCAGACATTTCCAGTATTAGTCAGATGTGCCATTTTTACTGCCATTTTTAAATATTAATTTTTTAAATGTTCACAATTCTTCAGTAGTACACTGACTAAAAAGAGACATGTCTTCCAACAAAAGGTGCAGGTAACAGTTTACAAATAGGGACTGGTGGATATCAATATTCAGACCTTGGGTAAATGCATCTAAAACAACATTAACAACTAAATCACATTTTTATCACATCATTTCACTTTATGAACCCAAACCCACAGTTTGGATTCAGGCCTGAGATTGTGGTTGACTGCAGTTCACTTTTGGAATATGAGGCTCCTACTAGCTGTATTCCAGGAACATCATGGATAGTCAGCAAGACTTTTTTTCCTATAATCTATTAAGAGGATTGGATTCTAGGTGAATTTAGCTGAACTGCATTGTTTCAAGAAAGATTCAGTTTTACTCAGTTTCAGCATTATATTTAGGCTTAGGATATCTACAGAAGTTCTAAACTGGACATATTTAAATATGCATGAATAGCTATCCAAGCTGTATAGCGGCAATGATGTCATCCAAGACTCCTACTATACATCCCACATTAGAAGCTACATGATTACCAAAAGGATATAAGCACCATTAACAATAATTTTAAATGGAACTGCAGGAATTGGTGACAGATTAACACACACATTTTGATAAATCCTAACTGCCAGGTCAAAGAATCTAGTCCCTGCTCTCTCTCTCCCACCAATACACACACACATACTTTTTTTTTCTTCATTAAGAAATGCAAGGTATATTCCACAATGTCTTTTTTAACACACAAGAGCTTAATGTCATTGCTGGTTCCATCTCCTTTTGGCAAGAGTTGGTAAGCAAGCAGCCCATAGACTAATACAGGAAGGGAACTCATTTTAGCGCTAAGGTGTGCTAAAGGGTGTACACTGCTAAAGTGAAATGAGAAAAAAAAAGCAGCCAGACTGGACTTTGATAAAATGCATTAGGCATCAGTTCTGTAAGCTGTGGAAAGTAAGTCAGGGTGAAAGACCAGAAACAGAAAAGTCTGAGCAAGGATGCAAGCTGCACGAGGCAACAGATGCAACAGCCACACAAACACACACACACACAAAAAAAAAAAAATCACATGAAATAGGGTGGAATGGGCTTCAGAAAGCCAGCAGGCCAGCCCTTTCAACTCTACGTAGGGCATTACACCTACGCTTGTCCATTCTGTTCTTAAAAACCTCCTGTGAAGACTGCCTCTTCCAGCTACCCCTACCGTTGGGAAAGTTTTCTGTAGAGTTGAACTTGAATCTCTGATTCACTTCGGACAGAAACAAGAATCTATGTATAGAATAGGCTATCTCCTTTTTCTCCGCAGTGGTCTGTAATACTGAGGCTTATACCTCTCCCTCGAGCTCTCTCCTCTTTATGACAAACAACCTCAATTTTTTAAACTTTATTTGCAGGTGATATTGTCCAGACCTCTGATTATTCCTGTTGCCCTCCCCTGAATGCCTTCCAATTGCCTTTGTTGAGAGGAAAGAGCCATGGGACACACAAGTCCAGCTAACGTTTTAAAAATGCCAAGTAAAATGGGAGGACTACTTCATAAGTTATATGCCTTTTTATCTCCTGCAAAACGACAAGGCAGCACTCACCCATTTTCCTCTCTAATCCAGCCCTCCCAAAGGTTTGCATTCCCTTGCAGTTTGACGTTAATAAAGCAACCCCTCTATTTCCATCAGTAAAATCGCAAATGAAAATACTAGATAGTGCCAAAGACAGACCTCTGCAAGCCATACTTGATAGCCCTTTTTATTTTGATAGTGACTCTTGGACGAATGCTCTGAACATGATTTTACACATCTAGTTTTACATCCACTATGTCATGACTCTCTCCTTAGACTCTTCACAATGTCATATGAGACAGTGTCAAAAGACCTAAACAAAGCAAAATATGACCTCTACTGTTTCTTCCCTGTCTGTAATAAGGCTTTTTGACTTATCGTATCAGGAAATTACAATGATATGACACATCTGTTCTTTATATGTCTGTGTTGATCATCATTTGTTTTCCTGACTCCTCCAAGAATTAGAAATATTTTAATCATTTTTATATCTTTCTACAAATTTATGTTGTGTTGAAAGGACTAAAATCCCCAGGCCCTAAACACCTTCATTTTCAAAAGTAGGCACTCTATTCACCCTTTTCCAACTGCCCAAAACCTATTGGTCAAGTACTTTAAGAATCATCTGTGTAAGCAGGAGGCATGAGACAGATCTGGAGAACTTCAGGAGAGAGGGCAAGACAGAAATGTGGCAAGTCTTTAAGTGAATAATGAGCTGTTTTGCTAAAAAGGGACAGCTCAGAAGAGGCAATGAAGTTATAAGGTATGTGCAGCCTTTCCCACCTCCCAGCAAGCGTAGCTAAATGATATCCAGGCAATATCTGAGTATTTTACTTCTGCTGTATCTTGTAAAATACTTTACCAGAGACCAATCAAAAATTAAATCTGCAGAGCATCTGCAACATTTGCTTTCCCCCTTGAGCAAATGCCGTGCAAAGGGCTAGTGTACCAAAGCACTCTGAATCTGCAACAGAATTGGTTACAGTTACTTTAATACTGGCTTAATAAAGCTTTCCAAGGAAGTCTCCACCATTCCACCCCCACTGTTGTCCTATGCAAAAAGCTTTTATCAGAAGACATCTCTTTTCCTCAATTAAGTCATTCAAAAACATGGACATAAGGAGAATGAGTCTTCCCTGCTAATAATATGTTTTGAGATAGTTTCTTCCTACCCTGCAATACAAGCCTTTTGTCTTCATTAAGGATTTCAACCGGGGAATGTTCTCTCAGTCAAATTAAAAAAAATTACAACCCACACTTCTGTGGCAGACCATGTGCATGGCAGCAGGAGGTAAAGCACATTCAGGGCGAACAGTAGCAGGAGAACGGAAATAGGAATCAGAGCTTGGTACTTAGAAGTCATAACTTGAAATGCAATCAGACGACTTTTCTAGCTGTCTGTCTCACCAGTCTAAACCCCAGTACCAACGCCTCCAAGCAAAAGTAGCCTAAGTTCCAGGACCAGAAACTGCATGGCCATTTACAACCCAACAGTGCATAGGATGCCTTATTATTCACCTCACAACGTATCCCATTCACCTGCCCTGAATGCTCTTGCCCAATGACACAGGAGAAGAATGCATGTGGGGGGCTATAGCCCACCACCCTTGGATGAAATAGTGAAGATCTCCTATAGCTGTCCTCCCACGCTGTTCCAAACCCTTTTCAAATGAACTATCCACTGTTTCAGCAAATTCTTCCTATATACCTCCCTTTACCTCTTATCAAAAATTCAGTGTCTTGATGTCCTGACTTTTGCAAGCTTTTGTGCACGTAGACAGATTCATACTTTTTTGATACTAGTACTAATACACTCTGAAGTTGATAACATCCTGTAGCTACACAGTGAAGGAGCTTTTTGCACTTAACAGTTCTATTGGTTCAAGTGGGCTTTGGAAGAAGCAGCCTTGTTATTCATGTAAGCAGATACTGGTGTTAAAGAAAGACCATATGCAGATAAAGGCAGGCAGGTTCAAACAGCAAATGAAACCCTCCAGTAAAAAACAGGCTCCTAAAATGTAATCAAAACTGTATGATCTATACACGTTAACAGATAGGATTGTGGTATATTACAACTTGTATTACTGTAACCTATCTCACTTGTATGTAGTTTGTATTTAAATAAAACTACTCAGAAGGCTGCAACACTTCTATATATTGAGATATTTACTTGGATGGCTCTATTCCTTGGTTAAAGGCTGTATTTCATTCACCTCTCCCCCCCAATCCTCCCACCCTTCAAGTTGCTAGTTAAAATACGGATGGCATTTTCAGACAACAGCTTCAGAACATGCCTGGGTTATGGACTTATGTATTATGAGATAAACAATTTCTGAATTAAAAGAAAAACAACGAGTAACATGTTGATCAGTTCTACAGTTCGTTAAGTGTCAGCAAAAGTGGAACTCCACAAAGTATCTTTAAGGCATATGTGCTCTTTCTCCCCTCAACTCCATGCAGCCTCTATTTCTGTTTTAGTAGCATTACTTTGGATTTGTAAAACCCTCCTCTCCTTACTAAAAAATTGATTCGAAATAAACATTAACAGACTAAGGTAAATGTGCTGGATGGAGTGCACCCCCTTCCTTAGTACCACATTGCCACTCCAATCTGGCGTGTCAGGGAAGCTTCTCTTAAATGTACATATTTGTAATTGGAAGGGAGGGGTCTGAATGATCCTCTGGGGACAAAACCAAAAAGATAAAGGTATTTGAGGTAGAAAAGCTGGCAATATGTGGAAGAGAGAAGCCACATGTGTTCGGCTAGGTTTTCTCAGGCAAAAACTAATGTTAATTTCCATTGATTTCCCTGTCACAGGACAGAATCAGACCAAACAACTGCAGAATTTATTTAAAAA